CACACATACACACACACACACACACACACACACACACACACACACACACACACACACACACACACACACCGGGTGCTCAATTCCAACTCCCAAATTTCTCCCACCCTGCAAGAATGGGGACCAAGTTTCTCACCATCCTCATAGTTTTTGAGATAGTAATCCGGGCCCGGGCCCCCGCGGCTTTTCGCCGGGTTCCTCAGGTTCTGGAAGTGCAGGAAGTCCGTCCGTTTGCCCCCGAAGCGCAGAAAGGCGGGTGAAAGTCCCCGGGCCAGGGTCACCAGACGCTTGGAGCTGCAAGGGTAGAGAAAGAAAGGAAAGGATCCCAGGAGAAGGCTAGAGCGGGCATGACACCAGCAAGGCCCTCTTCTCACTCCCTGAGGGAGACCTGGCGGGTTTTCTGTGCCCGCCCCAGCCCAGGGTCGCACGGCCAGGGGCTGCTCCGCGGCGTCTTCTGCATGCGCCCGGCGCCCTAGTCCACTTTGCCCTCGGCCTCACAACTTCCTCATGCTATGCCTCCGGTGCCCGGCTGTCCACTACGGCCCCTTCCCACCCGACACCTGGATGCCCAAGGTACTGATTTCCAAAGGATTAGAGATTACGTTTGTGTATGTGCCTAGAGGGACACTTGCTTGTACTGAGAACATGGGGCCAACGCGCAGTTGCCTGGCTTCTGCCACTGCCAGGAAAGCGCTCCAGACCTAGACGCGCAACCCACCAAACGCAAGCCCCCGACCTTTGCCAAACTTTCACACAGCAAGCCTGCGTTGCCCCAGGAGCATGGGAATCTCTTAAGGTGAAACCTTGACTTTTTTCTCTCGGAGAAGGCCTAGCACCTGAGGTCAAGAGGATTCCGACTTTTTTAAGTGAAAATTTTGATTTTCCTTTTACATTATAACAACTTCATTGTTTCCCAAATCCCGGGGCGGAGAGATTCTCTGAGTAAATCCTTGCCTTTCCAGAACACTAGCGCGCGCACACACACAGTAAAAGCAATGTCTTTTTGGTCCCTGAGATAGCTCAGCCTGCAAGAAAGGTAACATTTTTCTTCAAACACCCTAATTTGGGCTCTTTTTTTCCTTCCCACTTGGTCAGTTTGGGAGTGCTGAGTAAAGAAGTTTGCAGAAAAGTGGAACTGCCAGTGGGGGAAACTCGGTGGGGCACCACCAAAACAACAACATTTACATCTATTTAAGTTCAGGATTTCCACCAACAGGTTTTTAGAAACTAAACGCTGCTGTTTTGAGAAAGAGTAAGTGAGGAACCATGCAGATACTGTTAAGGAGAGTTCCAGGTCTGTAAATTATTTTTAACGCTTTGCTGGCTACGGTTCTGAAAACTCCAAATCAAAATGCAGAAAATAAAGAGCATGATAAAGGAGGTGGACACAGGAGAGACTAAACGGAGAGTCGGCTTATAGAGAATTTTTGAGAAGAGACGTAACTAGCCTGAGAGTTTCGGTGGCAAGAAGGACGATTTGGCAGTGGACTCCAGGATCCAGTTCCAGGGCGCGCGCAGTTAGGGCGTCGCGTGAACCCGCTGCGGGCAGAGCAGAAGTACGCGCCAGTCCGGCCCCAAGGAAAAGCGGCATTTCCAACCACCTTCCACTAAGAAGCCTGTTCTACCAATGCAAATGCGCCCCTCCCGTCCGTGTTTCTTCCCGGAAAAGCTGCCTTCCAGTAGTTTTTCTACAGCGGGCAAGTACTTGGGGAGAACGGGCTAATATTTTTTAAAGAAAAAAAGAAGGAAGAAAAGGAAACCCGGAGGAGTTTGCGCAGCTGGAGGAGCGCAATGCAAGTGGGGCGTGCATTTCGGAAACCCTGCTGCACCCCATATTCTGATGATACACGCTCTACAGCACAGAAGAGCTTTCGAGGAGGAAGCCTGGCGGGGCAGAGCTGTTCCCGCCCTCCCACCATAAGCACCCGCAGGACCGAAACGGCCTCCGCTGCGGCGACAACATCCACTCAGTCATCTGGCTTAGCTCCCCCCCACGTGAAAGGAGCGCTCCACGTGGCGGCTCCAGCTACCTGCCGCGTCCGCAGACTCCGCCGAGGCCAGAGGAAGACGCCCGAAAGCTGAGGGGCGGACGCATCCGGAGAAACAAAACTCGAAAATCCGAAGGAGTGAAAAATACTCACGAAAGACCGGCAGCGGACGCGGCCCTGAGGCAGAGGAATGGCATGGAGAGCTCTCAGGACTCTGGTGGAGCCCACAGCTGAGGCTCCAATTTGGAGGGAATTTTTTAAAAAATCAACACTTGGATTTGATATTTTAGATGATTTATTTATTCTATTTTTCTTTTCTTTTCTTTTCTAACACTGCAACTTTGTCCCTGATGGGAAACGACTGCGGATGCCTAACTGCTTAATAGTAATAACCGAGAAGAGGGAGAGCCCAGTTAGATTCCAAGGGGATCACACTCTCCCAGTCGGCTAACCCGCTGGTGCCGGTGCAGGGTTCAAACCTCCGAAACTTCTAGGACCCTTACCGCCCTTCTTATGCACGCTATGACCCACGCGAGGATTTTTTTTAAAACTATGAAGTTACCGCAGGAGACTGAAGGAGGGGGATCGGGGGTGGGGTGTGCATTCTGTCTATAAAAAACGCCTTGCAAAATCCTGAAGTCTGGAGATGACAGTGAAGGATATAAAATAAAATTTTAAAGCTATGATCCAACTTGCAATTGCTCAAGCCTCTCCTTAAATTCATTTTCTTTCTGGGAATGGGAGACAACTGACGAAGATCTTTCCGTGGAAAATTCCACTTTCGTGCAATTCCGGCTTGGGGAAAAAAAACTCTCTCTCTCTCTCTCTCTCTCTCTCTCTCTCTCTCTCTCACACACACACACACACACACACACACCCATTCCTCTCAGGTCTTTGTTGCTCCAGATCTTTTCCTCGCTTTTGTAACTGCCCTGAACCTCTTGTTTCTTTTTCAGAAGGAGAAGGGGAGGCTAATTGTGGATATATGTAAGCACAACATTTTTTCAGTCATAACTGATAAGTTTCTGAAATGCCTTCTGCATTGCAAACATGTGCATCTTAATAGAAAACACTGCTTTTCTCAATCACTAGTTACAGCCTCACAGCAAATATTCCAGGAGGAGGAAAACCTCCTTTTTTCTCTTCTGAGAGAGATCCGCTTGACTTATTTTCTCCTTCTTCTTCTTCTTCTTCTTCTTCTTTTCTTCTTCTTCTTCTTCTTCCCCCTTAGAAGTGGAGGATAGAAAGAGAATGGGGGTGGGGGTTACTTAAAATTAAAAATGATCCATCGAAGCCCCTGCCTTACCTTAAGAAATCGAGCCAGCCATCATGAATGATGGAGGGATCCAGCTGGAGAGAGAGGAAGTTTTCATTGACTGTCCTGACTGGGTTCTTGGTGCTCACATCAAGAAGAATCAGGGTCTTTTCCTTCAAACCTGGAGCTCTGTCTACAGGCAAGGGTCTCCTGTCTCCAGCTTGGGAGGAAAGAGAAAGATGGAGCAACAGAGCCAAGTAGAGAGCCACCGGGGCTAGGCACGAGGGGGGGCGGGAGTTGCTGGAGGGCATGTCTTCAGGGAAGGCACAGAGCACCCTCATTAAATCCCTCTGATTTAAACCTCTCTCCCTACTGGGTCTCGCTGGTGACTAATTGTCCTTATCTAAAGTGTGTGTCTGTCTGCCTCCCCCTTCTTTTCCCTCCCCCCCCCATTCTCTTTCGCGCTTTCTCTCTCTCTCTCTCTTTTTTTCTTTTTTCTTTTTTTTTTTTTCCTTCAGTGTTTTGGTGCTGGTGGAGCGAACTCACGCCCCTAGCCAGCCTTCTCAGCAACTCGTGCCAAGAGTACTCGTTCACCAGCACCGCCCCTTTAAGAGATTTCGACTGCAGACATTTTTTAACTTTTTAAAGGTGAGGGGTGGGGGGAGGCGGGAAGTAGTAGGAAGGGGTGGCGTTGTACCCTCCTGATTTAACCCTCCAGGGTCAGGAAAGAGGACGGTGGGACCGATGCAGTACAGTGGTACGTCTTGGGCACTGGGTGGAAAGTCTTTTTACTTCCCTTGCTGGGAGGCTTTGGAGAAAGCGGTTTAAGCATAAGCTCCTACCGCGCAAAGAGTTTGCACAGACTGCACGTCTGTTTGTCCTGACAGCATCAGGCATAGCGTCCGATCGGGCCCTTCTCTCTGGGCTGAAGCAGCAAACGCAAGGGTTGTTAAGTTGCAAGGATTCTGGGGAGGCGACTGTGATTCCTGTCAAAGAACAGAGCACAGAGGGAAACTCCGTGATTAGGAGCCAGGACGTCCGCTATGCACGGGGCAGCCCCACAGAAGCATCCTCTGACCTTGATATGGCAAAGGGTGGTCAGAGAGTAAAAACAGAATATCCAAGTCAAAGGGATTCTCTGTTCGGAGAAGGGAAGAAAAAAGAGAAAGAAAAACGCCCAATCTGTGCCATAGTTCTGCTGGCTCTTCCTGCAGCCACCAAGAACTAATGGTTTTAAGGCCTTCAATATACTCTGGCTTTGATTAAGTCAAAGTGACCTGGACTGCACTAAGACAGGGCAGCTCTGCATACGTTTGAGACGCTCTCTGGCCATGCTATTTCGCTGCACAGGCAGATCTGCCCCTCCTTAAGGACGACCCTTGGGTTTTGCCTTTTCGCAGGGAAGTGAGTCTGTATGGTGCCACCGAGGAACAGAAAGTCGCTGCTACAGAGGCTTTAAACTGAGCCCCTAGTCAAAGCTGGTCCACAGGCAATTCCCAGATGCCAGAGACCAACCCTGAACAGCATGGTTCTGCCTCAGCGCGGAACTCCCATCCACAACAGCAGATTACACTCTAGGTCCATCCTGCAAAGTGGGCAAAAGGCCAGGCAGAGTTTGTGGTAGGTGGGCCCCACTTTCAGCTTCTTTCTGGAAAACAATAGGCCTTCTACTTGGCAGATGAAGAGAACTACTCTATGCAGTTATGAGTACACAGAAGCATCCCAGGGTCTCCTTGGTATCAAACACACAAGACAAATTGGATAGGTTTTCCCCAGAGTTGGGTGTTCAAAGGGCAGTCTCAGAGTTCAGTAAACACTGTAATACTAACCTGTCTCCGTTTTCCCTCAACTAGATAGTATGATCAAACCTGAAAAGGGCTGAAGTAGATGACCTTCAGCTTACTCCCCGAGAAACCTCTACCAACCCAAATAACCACGAAATCTAGAAGTTAATGTTTTATTGTACCATGAGGACCTTCCAGAAGCATGACCACATGAATGAGGTTAAAAGAAGCTCCAAGTCATAACTTTAAAATGATTTTTAAAACCAAGCTGTAACAACATGTATTAGATGTTGGCTCCACTTCTAATGCCTGCTTCCTTCAGTTCCTGAAAATTTCGAACATGCCCAGATCCTTTAAGATTTGTGTATGTGTGTGTCTGTAGGTGTGGTATTTGGTGTAAGTTCCAGTAGAAACTTGCTAATTTTTAAATGCTTATTGAGAACTTCCCAGAGACAGTGACAGCCTGATGAGTAATAAATAACCTTTATTTTTGTATCAAACAAACCTGGGCACTTAGTAGGGACTCAATAAATATCCGTAAAATATATTAATGGGCAATCAACTCATGTTCAACATACTGAAGTCAAATACTGCTCTTAAGAATATGAAAAATAAACACTTTTATTTGTCAGTAAATTGTTTTGGGACTCTGTTTGGTAATTTGTTTTCCCAGTTATTAGCATTTTCCTGGCCATCTACTTCAGAAATACTTATTTTGCAAGGCCATTAGTTCATTTGCTATGTTCAGAATTGAAACAAATTACATATTTTTAACAATGAGCCAGATTTTCCAAAGGCCAAAACACTCCCTGGCTTATAAGTGAATGCAATTTTACAAGCCACATTAATTGAGACCAGCAGAGATCATTAGAATGAAATAAATCACTTGCCCACTAGATGTCTATAACAAATGCTCCTCTCAAAAATACTTACTTCTGTGACTAAGGATGAACTTGAATATATAAGAACCTGCTTAATTACAAATATTCACAATTTTACTGACTCAACTACTCTAGAATATTTTGGTGCCTAGTTACTTTAACCTGTATTTAATGTTTACTTCAGAACCTCTATATGGGATTGAAGTCAAAACCAACAAAACAAAAATTTTGTTTTCTTAATTACTGATGAAAACCATCTCTAGTCTAACCACTGAAATTTTATAGTCATATCCAACTTCAATGCATCAGGGGAAGGAAATCAATTCAATAACATTTAAGGAGTTCCAGATAGCCCTGGTTGATTTCAAGATGATCTGATTGGGCCTTTAGTCTACTTTGGGTATAGATCTCCCAGCTACTCTTTGCATCTACTTCTCCCCCATCATGGTTTTTGTCTGTTATCTAGCCCTAAATTAATGATTGTTAATCATCTATATATTAGATTAGTGTGTTTACCCTATCTTCTGTGTGTTGGATAACAACAATCTGCTTCTCTGCTCTATCTTACATAATTTCCTAGGGGACAAGAATATAATGCCTGTATAAAATATGAACTGTTAAGAAATAGATATGTTGCTATCTCCTTAGAGACAATCTGCTTAATTTTTAATGATCTGTATAGGTTGCTTTGACATCTAGGAGACTAGAAGATTCTCAGAACTGAAAGAAAACTTTAAGATTAACTGCTTCACTGTTTTCTAGATTCTGGGGCTTCAAAATAAGTATTAGTTAATGGGAGAAACATACTAGTTTGCCAACTTTTTATTTTGTCTAGAAAGGACCTTAAAAAAAATCTATCAACTACTTATCACTATCACTTTCCAAAAAAAAAAAAAACAGTTTACAATAAAAAAAAGCTGAAAAGCTACATCTAAATAGACAGCAAGTGTTAAAACCAAACAAATTTAGCTTTATTCAAAAAAATCACTATATTATCATTTTATCTGACAAGTGGAACTGAATCAGTGACCATCATGGGTACTAGGACTGGTAACTGGAACTACCAGTATATCTTGTGTTTATGACTTAATTCTACTTGGTAACATCCAGTGTTTTTTCCAAGATGTAAGTGCTTTTTAATAATGGTCATCTTGACTAAAATGATTTCTTCTGATTTTTTCCTCTTCCTTTTTCTCAATTTCAGCCTGTCACACTAATTGATTCTATATGCCATCTCCCTTTCATTCTAAACAATCAAAGCCTAGTTATCTCTGTCTGTTTTCTCCTTCTGAAAGAATTGTACTTAGCTGTTAAATACCAAGAAAAATTATGTGCCACTGTAACTAGGACTAGAAAGCATGAAGATACAGCATCAGTTCAGTGTTTCATCATTCACCTGCCTTTCTACATGTCCATGATGACTGTTATCAAAACCCTAGGGTCAATCATGGCACTCAGGCCTATACATTTTCCATCTTGTTAATCTTCTTCAAAAGCTCTGAGAGGTAGATATAATTCCTTATTACATACAGAATACATACAAAGAAATCAAGACTCAGATGTTATGCAATGTTCTCATGGTAGCAAGTAAGTGGCAACAAAGAATTGAAAGCCAAGGTTGCCTCACTCCAAAGCCTATATTGTGTTCATAATCACCACACTCTACTTATCAGTGTATGGGGGGGCCTTGAACTAGGAGTTGGAAAACCTAAATTTAAGTCCTGATTTTATCAAATCTGACTTTGTGGTCTTGGGTAAATTTTTAAACCATTCTAAGACTCAGCTCTCTGCTCCATAAAATTAATGTAATATCCAAGAGCAGGATAAGAATGGAGTAAGGTTATGTAGGAAGAAAGTGCTTTATAATTTCTAATATATTATGCAATTGTGCTACTTGTTTATTGTTGGTTCTTATTACCTATTTCCCACACTTGCCACAAAAATACCACCTTAACTGATGACTGGGGTGAGAATAAAGTAATATGTATGTATCTTAATGGTAAGCTTACAATGAAAGGTCAACTTTCATTGTCAGTGAAGGCAGCAGTTAAAACAACACAATACCACACATTTTAACCACACAGACTCTTCCAATGATTTGTACCTAAAAGAAAAAAAGGTAAATAGGTTCTACATGCCGTCTTCAATTTTCCACTAAGAAAGGGACAGGAATAGGTAAGGACAGTACTGGTTACAAAGTGTGTTATATTATCATCAAAGATTGCCTCCATCCTGTCTGAAAGAGCAAGGAATGACACCACTTGCTTCATATGGCAAGTTGAAGGAGAAAGGAATTTGTAACTCCACGGGTGTTCAACCTCATTATACAAGCCAATAGGCTGTATGATCTTTCATCCCATCACTGCCATTAAGCAGTAAACTTTTGTAGGGAAGATTATAACCATAATAAATGTAGTTGACTCTGATAAGCTCTGTTTGGAATCCCTTAACAGGTTTGAGGGTAGGGATGACAGTTATTTGAAGAACTGCTGTATGTAGAAAAACCAATAAACAAGAAAACAGATTAAAATTACTTACGTCTTGGTCAAGACCATTGAAGAGTCAATCATATTCTTCTTAACCCGTTCAGTTTTGAAAATGCATCACATACTGGAAAAAGCAGGAAGTTGAGGCTGACAGACTTGGATTAAAATCTATTTCACAATTTACTATCTGCTGGCATGACTTTTATAAACAAGTAATTTATCTTCGCTAAGCCCCAATTACTGTAATAACTTACATGCATACTACTTATTTATTACATGAATACTATTTAATTTTATTTTCATAGTACTTAGGACAGGTTTTAATCCTCATAATTCAGGTAAGAAAATAGAGTCAGAAAGTTCAAGCTATTTCTTGAAGAATTTAAAACTAAAGTCAGCTCTTCTGATGACTACTGTTTTTGTTATGTTTGTTATTGAAAATATTTGAGCATTTTTATATTTAATGTCCCAGAGAAACAAATTCAGATGGTCTTTCACATTTCTTATAGCTTCATTATTTATTCATACCACTTTCCTAGTCAGACAATTAAGTATTAATTAATGGTACAGATGACTTCTAAGAAGGTGAAATATATAAATCATGAATATTTATAAAGATATATAGATATATATCAAGTCTCAAAATTTAGAAATTGGATGTATAAATAAAATATTTGCCAGGAACATAATTGTATTGACTAGCTGTGATTGTATTTTCTTTGGTTCCCTAGGTAAATGGCATACTTTGACATTTTATAACACCATGTTCATAATGAGAGTTAAACAAATTTTGATAATAGCAGGCTTGCCACTTCTCCTGTCCTCTCCTCAATGATCAAAACTGGTGATAGACTCGACTGTTAACATACTTACTCATTTTGATTAATTTACCTGAATTAACATCTATATTCCTAATTCTTTGGAGTCGTTAGGTCCTCACATAAGCAGATCCAAATCTTTCCTTAATTCAATGCCAGTTATAGTAAACCTTACTAGTCCTAACTCTCACCAAAATTTTCCAATTCTTCTAGGACTTTCAGTCACCTAGAAACAATGACATGCTGATGACTCTTAGAAAGTATGTTTAATTTCACACACTTAAATTTTAAGTTCCTCTTCTGATTTTGTGAAGCCTAGTCAAAACATTAAAATAGTATTTTATGTGCTACTTAAAAATAATGTTGCCAGGCGCCGGGGCACATGCCTGTAATTCCAGCACCTCGGGAGGTTGAAACAGGAGGATCTCAAGTTCAAAGACAGCCTCAACAACTAAGGCACTAAGCAACTCAGTGAGACCCTGTCTCTAAATAAAAATACAAAATAGGGCTGGGGATGTGGTTCAGTGGTTCAGTACCCTTGAGAATCCGATCCCCAGTATCCAAAAATCATCATCATCATCATCATCATCATCATCATCATCATCTTTTTCCCTTTGAGGTGGATAAGAAAATAAAGTGAGAGTCTAGGTCACAAGGTCCTGGCTGCACATTAAAATCACCTGAGGAGATTTTTTTTAACCTTATTTGTTTTTTATGTGGTGCTGAGGATTGAATCCAGTGCCTCACCTGTGCTAGGCAAGCGCTCTACTACTAAGCCACAACCCCAGCCCACCTGAGGTTTTCTTAAAGCTGATTTGGAATGGGACCTGAGCATATCCTAGATCCCTCACTCTTCAACTCAATTTAGTTTCTGCTTTCCTACAGCAAATTTAGATGGCAAGGGATACATGTTATTTAAATCTATTTGATTCCTAGTTTTTGAGAAGATAATGAAGAGAAAGAGTTCAGATTCTAAGGAATGTATTAAAAAATATTCAAATCTATTTCATTCCTAAATTTACACAGTGAAAGCTTAGATAGTGAGGAACCATCCTCAAAGGGGAAGAAATATGAAAGTAAATATGAAATATCCCATTAGTTTTAATAAATTTTCAACAGATAATTTTCACCCAATAATTTCATGTTGTATTACCTGATTGGTAAAATTTGAAATATCAGATAAAGCCTAATTCTGGATAAAAGGAGATGGGAACCTTTTTGTACATTAAGGGGAATGTAGACTGGCTGGGCCATTCTGAAGAGTGAGATCTTGCAGTATTTCATGAAATTAAGTATGTGTGCTCCCTAAGACCCAGAAATCCCACTACTGTGCATAACTCAAAGCAACTCACAAAAGGCTCATACAGTACTTGAATGAGAATGACCAGTTCTCATAAAAGCAATGAACTTAATGTACATACAACAATATGTATAGGATTTAAATACAATGATTCATGAGGAACACAAAAATAACCCAGTATCTACAGCACAATAATGTTAATGCAAATTAAATACACAAAAAACATCCTTTACAATGAAACAAAAATATCAAAAGACATACATACATCAAACATATTAGAGCTTATGCCTATGATGTAACTGTGAGACGGAAACAATTTTTTAAATGCTTTTCATGGACCAATGTTCATAAACTTTATCCTGCATTCAAGGCAATACTTAACAAATTTTCTGGAAAAAAATGTTTATTGAGTGCTAACTGTACGCCAAATATTGTCTTTTCCCTTTTGCCATTAATATCTAAAGATAAATAAGAGCATTCTTTCTTTTAACCTCGCAGTTTGGATGGAAAAATGATCATGTTAAAAAATATATATCCATTTAATAAGTGCTATTAATGGTTTGGTGGAAAATGTATGAATCACATATGGTTATGAAATAATATAAATTTGTCTATTAATTGATAAATATGTAATTCTGCATACAATAATGGCTGGAGTGTTTCATGCTTTGTGTACAGTTTTGCCTACTTTCTTATTTGGGAATAGTTAAGGATTGCCTGTAGAAATGTTAGAGTGCCATCTGCTGGCGAAATGTTTTACATTCTGCCACCACCATCTCCCCACCCATGAACCTCACAATCTTTTTTTTAATTTTTAATTTTTTAAATTTGCTTTAATTAGTTATACATGACACTAGAATATATTTAAGCACTTTGATGTATAATACATATATGGGATATAATTTCTCATTTTTCTGAGGGTATATATTGTAGAATCACATTAGTCATGCAGTCATATATATACACAAAATAATAATGTCTCTTTTGTTCCACTATTCTTCCTATCTCCACATCCCCTCCCCTCCCCTCACTTCCCTCTATCTAATATAAGGTAACTCTATTCCTCTCTAGTTCCCACACTTACTGTGAATTATCATCCATATATTAGAGAAGACATTCAGCCTTTGGGTTTGTGGGATTGGCTTATTTTGCTTAGCATGACATTCTCCAACTCCATCCATTGTCCTTCAAATGCCATGATTTTATTCTCTTTTATTGCAGAGTAATATTCCATTGAGTATATATACCACATTTTCTTTATACATTCATTATTGAAGAGCACCTAGGTTGGTTCCATAGCTTAGCTATTTAAAATTGAGCTGCTATAAACATTGATGAGGCTGTATCACTGTAGTACGCTAATTTTAAGTCCTTTGGGTATAACCCAAGGAGTGAGATGGCCGGGTCAAATGATGGTTCCATTCCAAGTGTTCTGAGAAATCTCCATACTGAGTTCCATAGTGGTTGTACCAATTTGTAGTCCCACCATCAATGTATGAGTGTACCTTTTTCTTTTTATTTTTCCTCTTTGAATTTCTTTTTTTTCCTTTAATTTTTATTGTTGGTTGTTCAAAACATTACATAGTTCTTGACATATCATATTTCACACTTTGATTCAAGTGGGTTATGAACTCCTATTTTTACCCCATATACAGATTGCAGCATCACATCAGTTACACATCCACTGTTTTACATATTGCTATACTAGTGTCTGTAGTATTCTGCTGCCTTTCCTATCCTCTACTATCCCCCATCCCCTTCCCTCCCATCTTCTCTCTCTACCCCATCTACTGTAATTCATTTCTCCCGATTGTTTTTTCCCCCTTTCCCCTCACTTCCTCTTGTATGTAATTTTGTATAACCATGAGGGTCTCCTTCCATTTCGGTGCAATTTCCCTTCTCTTTCCTTTTCCCTCCCACCTCTCACCCCTATTTAATGTTAATCTTCTTCTCATGCTCTTC